CGGGGCCGGGTCGGGCCTGGCGGGGCTTGAGGCCGCATCGCTGCGGGGCGGGCCAGGCCCCTGCGGGGAGAAGGGGCGGGAGGGACCGGAGGGACGGGCCGCCGGGGCCCGGGCAGCGGGGCCGGCAGCGGCCTGAGCGATGGAAGCGGGTCCCGGGCCCGGTCCGCGCTCCGGAGCACCGGGCAGTGCTGCCCCCGGTAGGCACTGCCTTTCCGCTGGGGTGGGTAAGTTGATCAGACCACCGAAAGTTGGTTTTATTGCTCACGAGGCAGTTACCACGTTTTAGGCTGCCAGGGAGTCGCTGGGGAGGCTTTGCCAGGGGTGGCTGCAGTAGCAAAGTTTGGGTAAATGGTGTTTAGAAGGTTTTGCTTGGTGAGCAGTTTTGTGGTGTCTGCTGGACATCAAGAGTTTGTGTGTCATAAGAATTCTTTCCTCTGTAATAAGGACATCTCTTACTGGGTTGTAACTGCCTTTTTAGTCCAATGTTGCACTGATCTGGCTTGTTTTGTTTCAGTAGGAGAAGTCTTAAAGACTTAAGGGTGTACTTTGTATTAACATTATTTTCAGAAAGTTTCCAGTGTAGGTCAGACTGCTGCAGTGAATCAAAGTAAGGAGGAAAAGAAAACAGAAAATGAAGCTGTGAATAGACATCAAAAAGATGTAAGTGGTTATTTTATACTGTGATATAGTAGAAGAAGGAGTATTGTTTGGCTAGGTTCTGAAAAGGCCCTGAAATTTAAAATACTTTGCTGTATTTTGAAATTTCAGATTTTGGGAAGAAGGCTTGCTATGGCATGCATACAGGGAAAGTAATTATTTAAGTGCTTTGTCTTGCATGTAATTAGTATGGTTACTTATATGTTCCTAGAGCTCTTTTTTTTACCTAACGAAAGGCTTTGGGCTATTGGGGAGATAAGGGTCAGGATGCTGTGGTTCCTAGAGAGTGATGGTTCATGAATTATTAAACAGCATGTGTGTGATGACTGAAAGGGGGTGTTGGCAATGCTGCCGGTAGTTTTGTAGACCTTAGTAATCCACCTAATACTAAACTTAAGAAAACTTTCCTGTGAATTACTGTAATTGAATCTGATCCTTTGAATGAAGTGGTGGAAGCAAGGACTTGCTGGAGTGATGCAAACTTCTGTAGGATGTCAGCCAAACACAAATTCTGGGGCAGGAATATAGGCTGCTTTCTGAGATCAAGCTCATAAAGCCATTTAGATCCAGATTTCCAATTGGAGAACCACTATAAAATAGTCAGCAAGTTGGATGGGACAATCCTGTGTGTTATTATTTATAAATGCTGTACTGCATATTAGTGTAAGTTCTAGTACAGTAAAATCTTGTCTCAGTTGGAACCTCTGGTCATGCATGAACACTGTCAACCCTTTCTCTTCTATTTCTTTCACAAATATGGATGTGTATGGTTTAATTGTTACAGGTCCAGTGTGAGCCAAGCTTCATAAAAGACAGACTGAAGCTTTATGAAGCACTGAAGAAAGAACATGATGCTTTGCTAGCTTACAGAGCAGCCAGCGAGAGCAAGCCTATCAAAATTACTCTGACAGATGGAAAGGTGGCTGAAGGGGAATCTTGGAAAACCACACCATATCAATTAGCTGTAGGAATTAGGTAACCTGCAGATTCAAGGAGTGATACTTTCACAGGGATACATTTGTTACTATAATTTGTCTCTTATATTCCTGCCTAAAATATATATGTTATGGTCAGGGGCTGTTGACTCTCTGAAGTTGGTTTATTTGGAAAGCATTGAAACTTCAGCTTAATGCAGAAGAAAATGCTGAGTGAGGTAATTGCTGAGTGGTGCTTGAGGTTCTGTGCTGGGATCATACTGTTTGCTTTCAATTAAAAAGTAGAGCAGTCAGTGAGGCGGCTCAAAATTAATAAACATCTGAAGTTTTGTGAGTTACCAGGTAACAGTAGAAGCTGTTACTAGGAGCATTACTTCCTTCAGATCTCCAGCACTGAAAACCACTGAATGAAGCTTGAAGACTTAATGAGTCTGTACCTTAAAAGTAGAAAAGTGTTTAAGACCATAGAAAGAAAAATTAAAGGTCTTAAGGTGCTACAAGATATGGGTGAGATCTCTCAGGGTTTAGAAACCTAAGCACTTTTGCAACTCTGAACCTAAATATTTTACTCTCTTGTAATCTGCTTTTCTGTTTTTTTGTTTGTGTCTTCTGTTGCTTTTTTTTCCTTAGTCAAATGTTGGCTTCAAATGCAGTCATAGCCAAAGTGAATGGTGAATTGTGGGACCTAGATCGTCAACTGGAGGGGGATTGCACTCTGGAGTTGCTTACATTTGATAATGAAGAAGCAAAAGCTGTAAGTAAATGCCTAGTGGTTTCTGCTTGATTAAAGGAACTAATGATGTGAAATTGATTGCACCACTGTGTTTTTAAAATCTTGAATTAGAAAAAAAACAAAGACCTGAAATTTTAATGTATTTGGCAGTATTTGACCAAGATTAGATACTAACTACCTACAATCCATAGGTGAATAAAATCTTAACGTTCTGTTCTCCCCATATTTTTTACTTAGGTTATTTCTCAAACACAATCCTACAGAATGTCTCTGTATGCGGACATGAAATAGTTTGATGTCCTCTCAAACGTGTCATCTTTGGTTTGACTCAGTGCATTTCAAGTCAGACACTGAAAGTAACAGTGAGGCTGTCTTACAGTTTTCTAAAAATTGTCCAGTATCAGATTTGAGTCATAAATAAAACTTACGCCTCCTTGTACCAGCACAGTTATTAGAAGCTGAAGGAGGAGCATCTTAGTCAATTAGACTATGAATATACTTAGTGACACACCCAAGATTTTTTAAAATGGAATTCAGACCTAAGCCTATGTTTATGCACTAGCATTAGGCTTCATTTTATCAAAGAATTATTAATGTGATTAAGCTTGTTTGAGCCATTTCAGGAGCCTGTAAAGTCTGGTGTTGTAGCAGTGGCTACGAAGTGGTCTGAATTACTAGGGACTTAAAAGACTTGTATTGATCTGGGGTTTTGATTCCCTTCTGACGTTTCAGATAATGTGGTTTACAGCCCTATTAATAAATGTACTATATGTGAGCAATGGCAACTTTATTGGGTATGTTGGTTTAGATGCACTTAGTATTGTATAGACTTTTAACTGACTGAAAACTAAGATAAATGAACAAGGTATAATAAGTACTATGGTGATGGAATTGGATCTGCAGGTATACCTCTTTGTTTTTTTCTTTTTAGTAACACAATGCCAATGACCTTAGGACTTGCTCACCTGACTTTATTTGCAGGTTTATTGGCATTCAAGTGCTCATATTCTTGGAGAGGCCATGGAAGGTTATTTTGGGGGCTGCTTATGCTATGGACCACCAATTGAGAATGGATTTTATTACGACATGTACCTTGAAGACAGGTAACATTTAATTGTCTAAGAACTTTAATACTCTGTATTTAAGCTCAGTACTAGGATAACTTTTGCTCAGTCCTGTTTATGTGTGTTAAAAGTAAAATTATGTAGTATGATTTAAAGCTGACAGGTTAGTCTTATTCATATACATATTCATTGAGTGTGTGTGTATATTTAAATTCCAGACCAGTGTTCAGACACCTGCTCATTTAGACTTGCAGTTGTTGAATGTTCTGTACAATTAAAAAATGTAGAGTGTTTGGGTAAAACTTTCTGAAGTTTCTGGGAGATACAGGAGGCAGTTGGTTAAAGAATCATGGGGGTTTGGTTTCAAGGTGCCATAGTCACTTGTAGAAGTGGCACGTATGCATGTGACTCGTGAGATGTTTACTGCTTTTCTAATCCTTGTGCACAGCTTTACAATTCTGTTTTTAACATTTATCTTTAGTACTCAGTAAGAATACTGAATCTGCATAAGCTGATAAACTAGCTCTTGCAGCTGGGTTGAGACTTTTTTTTTTTCTTAGATCTTTGAGCTACGAATTTTTGAGACCTTTAAACATGACAAAAGACTGTTCTGGGAGTGATGGCAGTGAGTTTACTCAGGGTGATTCCATTTGTGGTCTTACTTCAGTGTCTGAAAGTGCAGCCAGTTATAAGAAATTTAAGAAAGTACAGTGACAAATCACAACATCACATCCCATGTATTTCCAATTAGACCACTAGAAAGTGGTCACTTAAAAATGGGAATATCAAAACAATTAATTTTATATTTCTTTTGCCCTTCTTTGTTTAGGGGTGTATCTAGTACTGAATTCCCACTGCTAGAGAACCACTGTAAAAATATAATAAAAGAGAAGCAGGCTTTTGAAAGGCTGGAAGTCAAAAAGGAGATCCTCTTAGACATGTTTAAGGTAAATGTTTGGAGTAGCTGTGATTCTGGTACAGTGATCTTTTAATGCAACCCTTATAAAATACAGCATGTTACTGACTCATTAGAATAATACTTGTCCAGTGAAAAACTGATAACATCCTTTCCCCCCTCTCTGTACTCCTCTCAAGTATTCAGAATGTTTTCAGGCAATAATAAAGATAATTTCTTATTGTGCAAAACCACCTCAGTCTCAATGAGATGACACAGAAATTAGTATACATACACATTAATTCTTGCTCTCTTACAGAGGTGAGAAGAAAGACTTTGGCCTCTAGACCCCTTGGTCATACAGTGGATGTTACCACTCTCACTGTGCTATGTTTTAATTGTGTTGAAAAAGTACTTTGGGGTGTTGAGGTGGTAATCACTAATCCTCATTTCCCTGAGGGTGTGTGAAGCATTTTCCTTTCTTTTTTACCTCTTGGTTTATAATCCTTCTAAAAGGATGCTGAACTTTTTCATATATATGTGTGATCATGTGAATTTTTAGTTGTCTTTTACTAACACATTTGCATTATTAATACATAATTTAAAAATTTAATTTTATTAGACATTTTGATGTTTCTGACTTTTCATGTTTCCCTATGTAGTATAACAAGTTTAAGTGTCGTATCCTTAATGAGAAGGTGAACACACCAACTACCACAATATACAGGTAAAATTAAATTTAAAGGTATTATGAAGTATTTCTGTAGTTGGATAAATTTTGTTTAAACTGAAAAAGGTTTTGTTTTAATTGTAACTTCTGAATATGTGTGTTTGGGACTTGAGTTTGCAACCAATACTGCTACGTATGTAAAATCAGATGTTATTTTCTCTGCTGGAACAGATTAGGCCTCAATTTGTGGACTAACAGCAAATCTGCTTTTCACTCATTCCATCTTGTTTCAATAAACTTACTAAAATAAGTTACCACCTATGACAGTGAGTTGATGGCTAATAGGTAAAGCTAACTCTTAGCTCAGTGAGCTGTGAGGAACTTGTTCATTCAATTGTCTGGGGTAAAACTAGTTAGTTTAAAAATGCCCAAAGCAATTTTTTTCCGTTTGATGTGCCTAGCTTGAAATTTCCTGGCCAACTTCAACATAGTACTAAATGAATTGCTGAGTGTTACGATGCTCTTGGTAATAGATCAAGTGTGCAGATTATTTACTGAGTGACTGTTGTGCTTCAGGTAGAGGGCACAGTTGCTTTCCAGATGCACTGAATTGGCTGAGTGTTGCATATACTTATTGTTGATTGTTGCATATACTTGTGTGTTTGAATACGTCAAGTATTATCTTGTGTGCCATTAGAGACTAATTTAAAATGTTGGGAGTGTTTTGAAATAAACGTACTTGTCTTTTTGCTGTATAGATGTGGTCCACTGATTGATCTCTGCAGGGGTCCACATGTGAGACATACTGGAAAAATTAAGGCCCTTAAAATATTTAAGGTAAGTTAAATCAATAGTGCATTAAAACTTAAGTAAACTAGAAGTCTGTTGGTTTATTTATTACATGTTCATTTCTCCTAAAGTTACTATGTTTGGTCCTTTGTGTTGTTTCCTTACTCTGAAAATTGTCCTTAATTTCTTTCCCTGCTCACAATGTACAAGTGTAACTACAGATTACCATCATTCATCTCCTTCCAAGGGCTACTGATTCCTGACCATCACAACAGTACATCAGTGAAAGTTAACAGCATCTTTTTTTATCATCAGAATATCAGTGCAGTAACGTGTGCTTAGACTGTAATGAAGAGAGCTGCAAAAATACTCAAGCTAGTAGTGATGAGACAAGCTGTGGGACCAATTACACCTTGGGCAGTAGGGGAGTGTGGTACCTAAACTTTATGTGGCAGTATTGTCCTAGCATCTCCATCCAGCCCTGCACTTTGTAGCACAGATGTCCTGGTTTGAGTCAGTACTTGCTGTGAACATCTGTGTGTGGGGTGTGTGTATGCACTCAATTCTGCAGTAAACAGACAGCAAAGGTAGTCACTGGGTCATAGAATAGGATTTTGACCTTGTAAGATGGTCTCTTTCAGGTACAGGAGGTAAAGTGGACCCTGGCACACTGGCAAGTGCTGCTGTTTAAAAATGGTAGTGCTCATAGGAAAGCCAGAGACAGTGTTGAGATGCCTCTCGTTATGATGTGATTTAAGTTACTTGCAGGTGCTAATTTTGGTAACTTTACTACACTAAACTCACTGAAATACTCATCATAAAGGTGCTTTTACTGGCTTCCAACTGAAGTCCATTGAACTCTTGATTAAGGGATTAAGTGTTAGATTGTCAGAAGAGCTAAGATTTAATGGAGAGTGAATTAGTTTGGTTTAGTCTTTAATGTTTCCCTACTCGTGTTCTGTTTCTTTAGAAGATACCATGGGATGCTTTATTATGTCATGTTGTGGGAGTTAAAACAAGGTGTCTAAGTAAAATAAAAATACGGCTTCACTAGTCACTTTCATTTGTTTTCTGTATTACTATGCTGATTAAAAGGCAGTGCAAGTATCTTTGTATTACAAAAAAGTGCTGGATGACTGAATATAATTCTTTTTCCTGAGGAAAAAAGTCATAGCACTTAAGTGGATTAGGTTTTATAATCTCAGGGAAAGAAGGAATATGATACTATGTTAAAGTATGGGTTTTGTGCATCAGAATTCCTCTACGTATTGGGAAGGAAAATCTGACATGGAAACTCTGCAGAGAATATATGGAATATCCTTTCCTGATAATAAAATGATGAAGGAATGGGAAAAATTCCAGGAAGAAGCCAAAAACAGGGACCATAGGAAAATTGGAAAGGTATGTTTTTTCATGGTCTACTTCTTTTATGCTTCTGTAATAGAATTCAGTCTTTTTGTGGTTTCGTTTGTTTTTTTCAGTTTTTTGACAGTTTGAATGGGAGCCAGTTCTATGAGTTTCTTGGTGTCAGTTGTGTTTTAAAATTTTAATCCTACAAATTCCACTTGTCACTTGCATACAAATGTTAAACTAATGTTGGGAAGAAGTAATGGGGTAGTCCCTTGGTTTAGGGAGGTATCTCTTAAACATTTTAATGTAAGATCTTTTCAGATCCTCCCCAAAATGCTGTATTTTTCATAGGAGAGAGAAATTACTGAAAATTTTATAATAAGCTCAAAAGAGGAGTCACTGGTGAATTTACAGAAAATGGACATAGGGAAGAAGGAGAAATATCTTTACTGAAGTGTTCATACTTACATTAACGTGTTAAGACTTGAATATTTTTATAGTATTTGTTTTGCTTCTATACCTTTCAAAACAAATTCTCTAGCATCAAAGCAACTAATTAGTTTCTCATGTATCTAATATCAATAATACTGACAAGGTTAAGGTTCTCCAAAGATGTATCAGAACCACACTACAGAGCCTCTGGTTTTGAGACAAATTTCTGATTAAGAATTACTGGCTCCCAGCCTTCAGCCATCAGCCCTCAGATGTGTTGGGATATGCTTAATTGCTTTGTTTATTAATGGTAAGATTGGTTAAGACCTCAGGATTTTGAGAAAATGTGTTTGCATAGAAAGAGTCAAATAGAATTCCAGTATTATTGCAAATTTGTAAGAGTAAGAACTACAGAGAAGTTAACTAATGCTGCTGGGAAACTGCTGGAAATCACCTTGTAGGAATATTTCATTTTTGTGGATAGTCTCAATATGTGTGAAGTAGTCATGGTTTGTAGTTCTGAAGTGTTGGTTACAGCAATGCTGTTTCAATGTACTTAGGAGCAAGAACTCTTCTTCTTTCATGATTTGAGTCCTGGAAGCTGCTTTTTCCTCCCCAGAGGTGCCTTTCTTTATAACACACTTGTGGATTTCATACGAGTGAGTAATTACTGATGTAATTCCTAACAAGCTTGATATTGATTATTGATCTTAAGTGATAGGCCATTCATAGTACTGACCTATCTTCAGAGAGAGGAAACATCTACGTATGTAAATATATACCAGATTTGCCCTGAGTATGCAGTTATAACCTTTTTGAAAATAGAGCAGAGTAAAGCAGTGACCTATCCTTCTTCCAGTTGTAAAAAACCTACACGTGCAGTAGTCCCTTAGTTTCCCAGAAAATTGTCATTGTAAGAACACAGAAAGAATCAGGCTTTTGCTTGTCTAAAGCTCTTACCACCTTTGACATGTTGGATTTGTTTTATAGGAGGAATATCGTAGGCGTAATTTTACTGAAGTTGTATCTCCAAACGTCTTCAACAGTAAACTCTGGGAAGCTTCAGGGCACTGGCAGCACTACAGTGAAAATATGTTTTCCTTTGAGGTTGAGAAGGAAACTTTTGCCCTAAAACCAATGAATTGTCCAGGACATTGGTGTGTACTCTCAACGGAAAAACTTGTTATTTAGTCTTTGGGGATGGGGCTGAGGGGAAATAAATTAGTATTAATACATCATGTGTCTTTCCAGTAGACTACTAAGCCACCACTATGTTCAGGGAGCCCTTCTGACAGTGTTCCCAAGCAGACAAAATACTGTTCTTGTAGGAGGGCCTTTAAATCTGTGCTAAGTGAGCTAGGTTTGTGCTCACTAGTACTAGTCTGTGCCATTAATAAATACAAGTTATGCCAGCTAGAGATGGGCATCAGACATAGTGTACCAAAAGAGGATACAAATAAACCACTCTTGATTCGTACTCTCACATTGTTTGTTGTTTTTTTTTCTGGGAAGTTTTTAGCATGATGTTCTGAGTGCTACACTTTTTCTGTTTGCCTGCCTTTTAGAATGCAGACAAATCTGAAAGAGTAAATTCTTAACAATGTGATTATTGTCTGTATTAATCTTGTTTTAGTTTGTTGCCTTCTGTAAGAAAGATAAAAGGAGGGTTCTTTTATGTGACTTCTAGCTTGATGTTTGCCCATCGTCCACGATCCTGGAGGGAAATGCCTCTTAGATTTGCAGATTTTGGAGTTCTTCACCGAAATGAACTCTCTGGGACTTTAAGTGGTTTGACTCGTGTAAGGCGCTTCCAACAAGATGATGCTCACATCTTTTGCACAATAGAACAGGTAAAAAAAGGGGAAAAAAAAGAAAACCACAAACAACCCTAAACACAACAAACTCCCCCTATCAGTCAGCCAAAAAAAGAACCCCTTAAGACAGTGGCCTGTTGAACTTAGCTTCTCTGTGAAACGTTTTTCAAATAGCCATAATTTGTTTTTCTCTTGGAAATTAGAAAAGGCTTATATCAAAAGAATAAAATAATTATATTTGAGGGGCATTATTAATTGTGAATTACATTATAAGATTTTTTGTATAGGGTTTTTTCCTGTAAAAGCATCTATTTGGCAACTAAATCCCCCAAAAAGTAAAATTTTTGTATCTCCCTTCTGCCTCTGAAAAGAAAAAGCTGTTGACTATGTTTTGTCTTTAACGCTGAATAAATGTCAGTGATGCCATGGATTTTAGTGGAGCTGTGTGAACAAAGTGATACACTCTTGTCAAGTCTGACTTGTGCAATATGACTCCAAAAGTCCAGGCTTAACAAGAACATTTACTTTTCTTGCCATGCTTTGGAGCCACAACACCCTTCACCCATTACCTAGTTTTGGGTTTGTAGGATATCATTTGCATGTGATTTTCCATTTTTTATTTTATATAACAGATTTCTGTATTCTGATTGCGATTAATGCAATAAACTTAATTACATTTTATGTAAAGAAATTATAATTAATATTATTTTTTATGTTTAAGATTGAAGAAGAAATTAAGGGCTGTCTTGATTTCTTGAAGTCAGTGTATGCAGTTTTTGGTTTCACCTTTCAACTCCATCTTTCTACAAGACCAGAAAACTACCTAGGAGAGTTAGAGATCTGGGATCATGCAGAAAAGGTAATGCATTTGAAAGCACATAAAGTCCTTAATATTTGTATTAGTAGAGGTGGATATTTAAGTTATTTCATGTTGAATAGTGAGATTACTAAAACTGAGTGTTAAAAACCATCGCATTAGATGTGAAGTTTCTGTATAAAATGAGAACTTTCTGATTATTAGCACCTTAACTGATGGAATGTTTATTAATTACAACATTTGTACAAGGAACTACTCTTATTTCAAGACTATTTCTCATAAATTACTAAATGCTTGAACAATAGGACTCATGCTGCCTGTTGACTTCCTTTGTATTTCTAAGGCAAATGCTTTGACTTACAGTAATGAAAGGCACTGCTTTACGTGTAAAAATTATTTTCTCGTTTTCATTATTAGCAACTTCAAAACAGCTTGAGTGACTTTGGAGAGCAATGGAGTTTGAATCCAGGAGATGGAGCATTTTATGGTCCTAAGGTTAGTGAATCAGCATTTTTAGTACAACTTTGGAATGGACAAGAATGCAGACACAATGCAGGCAAACTATATTTAGTAACTGTTATTTTACTTCACAGATTGATATTAAAATCAAAGATGCTATTGGCAGGTACCATCAATGTGCTACTATCCAACTTGACTTCCAACTACCCATTCGGTTTAATCTTACTTATGTTGGGTAAGTGGTACACCAACTTATCTTCCTCTTTTTAAATGTATTTTTTTTATTTTCATTATCTGTAATTCCCATTAAACTGAGATGTTTTGATGCTCTCTTGCTCACTTAACCAATGATTAGCCTGCATATTGGTAGGCTAGTTAGGCAGTAAACATCCCTGGTGAGTATATTTCCTCAATGTAATGGTAGCTTACTTTACTTTTAAGTGCTACAGATTGCAGGAAAATTACATCATCTGTCTTGTCTGCCAGTTCTGAAGATAACTGATTATAAGTAGTGCTATAGAAAACTCAGTTGAGTCAGTTTTCATTTTCAGCCTAGTCATTGTGTCTCCTCTGAAGACATTGCATGCAAATTCAAATGTGTCTTAAGGAGCTAGTATGTTTGTAAAAATTATTTCATTCTATTAATCAGATAAAATTAATTTGAACAAAATAAGAACAGTTTTTAATGAAAAATTCACTTTGGCTTTCAGCTAGGAAGAGGGTTATTTATCCACTGAGTCACTTAAATCTTAGTACCATATTGATGTGAACACGTATCTTCTGGGTTGTTTTACTTGTTTTGTTTTTGCACATTATAAAGAGTTTGGGAAATGTAGAATAAGTATCTTTATGTTTTGGTCCTGCTGCATGGACCACAGTACATGTCATAGCCCTTTGGTAGGTGATAATAATGTTACAAACAGCAGCTGTTTTTTTTTAATCGCAGGGTTGTAATTGAAAAGAAAGAAATCAACAGTAAAGGCAGGTATGACCCTGTACAACAAAATAAAAGGAAGACAGCAGAATAGAGTGAAGAACATTAAATATTAAAATGTACAGAAATAGAGCTGAGTCGGTCGAGTTTTAAAATTAGGAGTTTGTGCCTATGTCACTAGCTACAGGCATGATTATTTTAAGTCACTGTGAATATTCAGAGTTCTTTTAAAAGCCCTGGTGACTTAAAGGTACATTTTTAATAGAAATGGTAGATTGTGCCTAAACATAAATAACTAAATTGCCTTTTCATGGAAAGAAGACAGAAGAATTTTAGTAAGATTATCTGTGAGCTAAAATAATGTATTTTTTCTAACTTTACTTACTCTTTTTCAGGAAGGATGGCGATGATAAGAAAAGGCCAGTGATTATTCACAGGGCTATTTTGGGATCTGTGGAGAGAATGATAGCTATTCTAGCAGAAAATTATGGAGGAAAATGGTATGTGACACAAATGCAGCTCTAAGAAATGTTTAAGGTACAGAGAACAGACCTTCCCCAATGTCCATTGCATGATGCAAAATAATATTCCTAGAATTTTCTCAAAATTAGTGGGTAAGATAACAAGAGAAGAAGTTCAATTTTAGGGTCTGAGTCTGAGATATGACATCCTTTTATTAGCAATTCATTATTAGAAATTAAATTTCATGAGATTGCAGGGAAAAATTATACAATAAAGAAGAAATAAGAATTATAATTGAATATGCTGCATTATTCTTACTCCTTTTTTCTTAAGTCGCTATTTTGTACTGGGAATTGATTGACATATTTTTATGAAGTAAAGCAGTTATTACTGGGGAACATGACTTTGGCTGTGAATGCAAATGTGAAATGCACATTTATTTCATTTTTTTCTTTGTCCTGCTTTCCAGGCCATTCTGGCTGTCTCCGCGGCAGGTGATGGTTGTGCCTGTGGGACCTACTTCTGAAGAGTATGCTCAGGAGGTGAGAGCAGGGCCTTTTTTTATAGTAGCAAGTAATTTGAATAGCTCCTTAAGTATTTGTCCTAGAACAAAGAATGAATGATTTAAAAATTTTTGGAGACCTATTTGGGGGGGGAGGGGAGGAAGAGGTAAATTTCTTCATATAATCTACAAATTTATATAAGCCTGAGAATGTGATATGCAAGTGTGTTGGGTTCTGGTATTAGGTATATACTTTAATTATTAAAGAAAAAAACATTCTGGATGATGATACTATCTCATGTTTGATTACAGAATTACATCCTGAAAATAAGGGCAGAGCTGGTTTCTTCCATTCCCTGGCATGTGTACTTACATTATAGACTATGTTATATTTGACTATGTTTGGGGAGGGGGTTCACCCCTTTCCCCAGCTTTTCTTTTAATACAAGCGTAAGTGGTTTTGTTCCTTCTTGTTTCTTAGACTGAGGAAATGTTTTTGACGTTCAGCAGTGTAGCTGTCTGAGATTAGCAAGTATTTGATATGAATGTTACCTTGTATTGTCTTTCAGCTGGACTCTTGCTAAGCCCTTAAGTGTGTTTGCAGTTGTCTTCAAATAACTTCATTGGCTTTCTTACAACAATTCACAAAACCACAATTATGCACAGACATGAATTAGTTACAGGAAGATATTAGGGATTACAGCATGTACAATTCATGTTGTGGAATGTATACTGTGAGAGGTTTTGTGTTTTGTTTTTAGGTTTGCAGCAAATTTTTTGAAGCAGGATTTACGTCAGATGTGGATCTAGATCAAAGTTGCACATTAAACAAGAAAATTAGAAATGCTCAGCTGGCCCAGTATAACTTCATCTTAGGTAATTGTGGTATCTTACATTTATGAACATCATTTAGGTTTTAATGTTGGGCATAGATTTGTCTAGACTCATTCTGTAATGTGGGTAGTCAGTTTAATATTGTTTGTGATATGTCTTGCAGTGGTTGGAGAAAAGGAGAAAGCAAATAATGCTGTCAACGTGCGAACAAGAGACAACAAAGTTCATGGAGAGATTTCAGTATCTTCTGCTATTGAAAAACTCAAGAAATTTAAGACTTCACATACTCTAAATGCAGAAGAATTATTCTGATGATGCCATTAGAAAAAAAGAAGTATTTCGTGCCCATGTGAAACAGTGTTTCTTTCCTGCTGTAGAGCAGTAAGGCTCATCTGAGAATTTTCAGTTTATGGGTACCCAAGATAAGCAAATGTAGCAATGTTGGTGCTCCAGGAATAGCATGAGAGGATAGATGCAACTGCCAACTTCTTTCACAATCCCATGGGATCCCAATCTTCAACAGTTGCAGATTGCTTATTTTAAAAGTCCTACACCTGTATTAAAATACGTTGCTTTTGCTGGGGGAATAAATAAGTGGAGCAGGAAGGCTGGGAAGTGCAGGGGCTGCTGCTGTCACCGCTGAGCTGTGTTAGTCAGAGGGCAGTGGTGTCACTGGTGTGAGCTAGAATCCAAAGCTTGGCAGTTGGTAGGTGTGCATCAGGAGCATTCTGGCTTAGTTTTTCCTAATCCTGGCTTCTGTTGCGGGCTGGGGGAGGAATAGCTTGAGTATTTATTTTTTTCTGAGTTCATGTTCTACATTGGTGTCTTTGGAAATGTAAGTGAAACAAGATTCTGATTGAGTTGGTGTGATAAATGGTTGCTGTAAAGGTGATTGGCAAGAATGAAGCTGAATTACTTACTATATCTGTGTGTGGAAAGTTTTGTTTTTTCTTGGGTTTTCTGTTGATTTGACTCTCTTCTAAACAGCCCCCCACTAAATTTAGCTTTGAAGAAACTAATGTATTGCCATGTTTGCTTGCAATACTGAGAATGCTAAAGAAGTGCAGCTGGCCCTTTTTCATTTTAAACCCCAGCATGTTGGAATTTAAATTGACCATAGTTCTCTGACTTGTTTATGCTTATAAGTGGTTTCCAAGTTCACCGTGGCAGGCAACCGAATCAGATTTTCTTAACACATTTTTTCACTTTCATATGCTGTTTTTTTAGTTTCAAGGCAGAGATTGTTTAAAGATGTTACTCAACTACCTAAGCTATCCATCTGTAGTTGTAAAATGTGGCTGGAATGAAGCAGAAAGTACTATTTAGTGCATCAGTCTTACACAACTACAAAGCTAGTGTTTTCCTTCTGCCAGACACTTGCACGGGCCGGTTTTTTGTCTTGCATTAGTTTGGTTTATCTGTTTTCACCACCTGATCATCCCCTGCTTTTAAGAGGGGGAATAAAAGAAGGAACAACTGCTGGGAAACCCTCCTGTAGCACTTCACAAGATGAATTAGCGGGTGGCTTTTACAGCGTACCTCTCTTTGCTGGCGCCAGGCGCATTTCCAGCCCCCCTGCAGCCTCTGGGCGCTGCCCGAGGGGCACAACCCGCTGAGGGGGGTCCCGCCTGCCCGCCCCGCC